ACTATATATATATATATATATATATATATATATAGCTCAGGCAATAGATGCAGATGGACCATGCGTAGTTGTAAAGGTCAACCAAATTTAATCGCGTCTCATCGGCGTTTACTCCCAGCAATGATTTAGCTCTCACTGTTATCTTCATTCTACAATTTTACATGTTAAGGGTTCCTTATTTACATTGTGTATTGAATTTTGTATCCATACACATGGAATGATTCGACCCATATTCTACGAAATCTCTTTCGAGGAGGTCTACCAGGAAAATAGATTGGTGGTACACTCGTTTTACAAAAAAAAGACGAACTGAAAAGTTAAGCCACATCATTCGGACCATAATAATAAGCCTAGGGGAAAAGTAAGCGCACAGGATACAGGGAAGGCGCCTAAAACGAGAGCTATTTACTGTTTCTCCATCCAAATCATCGTATCATTTATCCATCACTCGTTTTTCACATGCTCAGGGCGCACAACATCGCCACACCACGCCGCACCCAGTGTTTTGGGTCCACCGTGGTCGGAACCTCAATCGCTAAAACGAAGTTTGTGGAATGACCAGTGGTGCTAAGCGTACCTGCTCGACTAACTGTCTTGTACAAAGGGCATTCGTATACCGTCCCCTCAGGTGGCTTAGCGCGGTTGATAATGGGCTTGAGCCACAGCAAGGGAACTGGTTCAAAAAGAACTTTTGGCTTTAATTCTGCGAGCGTCATCGTCTCGGGATCTATGCGGGCGCCTTCCATGAAAATACCGTGAACGTAACACCCTATGGGCGGCGGCGAGGTAATCTCTGACGGCTCCTCCCGCTTCCACTCGAAGCTATAGCTGATGGTATCAATTGAAACCTGCTCTTGCCTGGCGAAGTTCTGAAAAATGCCTGTAAGGAAGGCTTGTGGGAAAAAGAAGCCGGAAATCCAGTATATTTTGGGGTGGCCATTATCATACCAGTCCTGTATCATCGCCAAACGCAGCACGAGATCGTCTATCCATGCAGCTAATGTTTTTAAGCTCGGGTACGCCCGCTCTGCCCATTGCGTTGGGACTTGGTTGTTGTAAATTGAGCGGTATACGTCCTCCAACTCCTTGCTCATGACTACTTCACCTTTCATGGCTAATGGTAACGTGTCCAGCGTTTGATGGATAATGGTGAGTAAGGGGTTAAACCGAATTGCCTCTTGCACTAGAACAGTGTTCATGGAATCTTCGTACTTTGTTGGATATTTAGAGCGGAACTTGTTAATGTCAAACGGCTGGCATAGCTTTTCCTTAATCACCCCCGCGAGCTCCGCCACTTGTTCATCCGGCGTCATGCTGTTTATTCCGCCCGTTGTATGCTCACCTTCTAGTTGGGCGATCGCGGCGAGGGTCTCAAAGGTCTCGCTGCGCGCGCACGCGATATCGGCGTTTTCATGAAGCCCGAAGACTTCAGGATGTGTGTTTATTGGCCATGAGGCAACGTATTCGATGTACCCTTTCTGGTTGGTAACGGCGATGGACTGATAGTACGGCAGCGGGGAAAACTGGTAGCCGTCCTGAATCAGGTCCGGGGTGACGAAATGCTCCAAAAGCGTGTTCAAGGTCCGACGATCCCAGTTGTCGGTAACGCGCCCACCGTAGTGGATATTCCCACTCAGCTCCCGGATCACTTTATACGGTAGATCGTCATATTTGTCCAGGAACATCTTAATCTGCTCCACGCAGCAGCCCAAATCGCCAGAAGTGTACTCATAAGGAATATTCCACCCAAGCGGGCCAAACTTACGGCGCTCCTGGATGAGAGCATGAAAGAAGCACATCGAAAAGAAAAGCTTTTTCAACTCGTTAGGCTTCCTGCAGCTCTCAAGGTAGTCGTTCGAGTAGGCCAACAAGGAGCGCGTAACATTGGCCTGCATCCCTTTCGGCGGCTCGTTGGTCATTTTAACACCATTCTCCAGCACCGAGACGGGGAAGTGCGGATTCGGCATCGAGGTCAACCACAGACGGAAGTTGGGATGGATGATGCTCATAGGCATGGACTCGACAATACTTTCCAGCGTTGGCATCCACGATATCGCGAGATGGCAGTTCTGAAGTAAGACCCATGCCCCACTTTCCATGGCCTCCTGGAGCATGCGTTCGGCCCGTGGACCTTGCCCTTGACCAAGCGAGATATCGTACAGTTTTTTGCCCATGCCCTGAGTCTCTGCAAAACGTTTCCAGTCGCCATATGGATCCGCACCCTGTGAAAGCACAAAGATAAGCGGCGTCGCGGCGGTGGAATCTTTGAACGAAACGAAGAGATCGAAGGGTGGTGGCCGAATGAAGCGGTCACCCATTGTACTCACCACGAAATTATGCACAGCATCCCCGAGCTTATCTGGTCGCAGGCACCGAAGGACCATCATGCGCTGCAGACGCGTAAGCCCCTCGCCCCAGCTAGAATAAAATGACTCATATTCTGCATTAGAGGAGAACAACACCTCGTAGTAGTGCCCTGGATTTTTCACTAGGTCGCGTACAAAATCACGGAACGCAGTGAAGTGATTGCCTAGATAGCACAACTCGCTCCAAGCCGTTGGAGCCAACCACCCGGGATCCGGATTAGCCTCGGACGGAGCCTCAATCATTGACGGTCCATGCAAAAGGAAGCGTAGCTCTTCTTCAACGATGAGTCCACTCTGACGCAAAATACTCAGACACAGGTAGAAGGAGAACATCAGCTTGTGCTTTTCAAAAAGGGAACGACTAATGTTTTGGTAGAAGCTGTATGTAAAGTAGTCCTTGAGATTGAACAGACGTTTCTCAATTTCATCAGCTGCAGCAGCTTGTTCGATACCTGCTATGAAAAGCTGCACAAACCACTGCAGCGAGTACTGATACATTGGGTCCACATTGGAGAGATTTGAACAGCAAAAGTATAAGCAACTAGAGTGCCGTGCGATTGGTCGATATTCCTCGCGGCTGGCGTTGATGCTGATTTCAGCCTCTTCAGCTTCCGCCACCTTGGCTACAATCTCAGCCGTCTTTTCCTTGGACTCGTTCAGGTACTCGATGAGCTCGACATCATCCAACATGTCTCCCTGGACCTCCTCCATTTTTCGGAGGATAGTTTTTTGGATGTGAACCAAATCCGCCTTCATAGCAGCATTTTTCTGAATCAGATCGCTGCGTCGCGTTTCGAGCTCCTTGCGCTCCTGCCCTACGACGACACCCAAGAGCTGATCCTCCAATCCCTGGGGAGTGATGAAGAAGTTGAGTAGCGTCACACGCATTACAACCTCTGGGATATAGTGCGGATTCGACCATTTAGTTGTCATAAAAAATTTAAACTTTGGGTTCCACGGGATCGCCGTGTCGGTGATTCGGATCATCTCAATCCCAGCCTGTGTGAAGACCTGTTTGTCAAGCAGTGGCCCGAGACTGGCATCAATTTCCTCACATACGTTCTCCAGTAACACTGGGCGGCCAACACGGATGCAGTACTCAATCCGCTTGAGAAGATCCTTCTGGCTCAGTTTCAGCACCTCGAGGGAGTCCTTGTAGGTTTGCCGAATCCATTTGTTGGCTTGCGTTTGGGGATCAACTATGAGTGGCCAGCGCCGCGCGTACGTGAGAAAAAGAGCATTTTCAACTGAAAGCTTGTCCCCAGGAAGTCCATTCAAGTTCCATTCACGTGTTTCCACTATGTCCTGCAGGGTGTAATACACGGAGAGTTTTTTGCTATGTGGAATACCCTCTCTTTGGAGCATTTGGCCCCATGACTCGATAAGCTCTCTGCGATAAACAGCTGTAAAAGGGCCACAATAGACAATTTGTCCGGCCGCTGCGAGCATGTCACCCATGAGAAATTTTGAGTTTCGTCTTAGCTCTTCCAAGGACTTCGTCCAGTTCTTTTTCTCCCCTTTGAGACCATCAATCAGCATAGCGGCACGCTGAAGCCTTAGCTCGGTATGTCGGACCGTCTCTTCGAGCTGCTTCATTTCATTCTCCGCACTTTCCTTACGTGCTTGCATTTCAGACAGGCAACGCGACACCTCATCCAGGCGAGCCTCGGCAAGGCGGAGCTTCTCTTGAGCCTCGCGGTTGGCATTTTGGGCGACCGAAAGCCTCTGTCGTAGTGGCTCGACCTTCAAATTGACCTCGTAAAAGCGAACCATGGCGTGTGTCCATTGACACATCGCGGCACACGCCTGACTTGCCCCTGCAATTTTCTTGGGCGTAAAGTCCTCAGAGGTAACGAGGGGCCTAACGGCCTGAATAAGCTTTCCAGGGATATGTTCCTTGTCGTAGTTTATAAGACGTTGCATGAGGGCGTTGGGATTGTTCAGGAGCTGCTCCTTGGCCGTAGCCCAGTAGTCGGGCTTCTTCTCCATCGGGGTAACAGCCTTCAGGACAGGCTTGATCTGGAAAAGGATGCATATTCCTTGCATAGTCATAACAACACCAGGTGTGGGCGCCTTGTAACCTGCCACCTCCGTGATCTGCGAGGATTTCAGATTTTTGAGGGTCTCTAAGGCCCTGTCAAGTTCGGGCAAGGCTTCCGAAAGCTTCTCCTGCGCCTGCTGCTCAATGGTGGCGCATTCGGCCTGCATGGCGGCAACGGCCTCACGGGTCTTCTGGGACTCGATTTTGGTCTCCTCGGCCGACGAGGTCTGCTGCTCTATTTCTTGAACTAAGGCCTTGATGGATTCACTCTTTTCAATCAAGATGGGCTGCTTCTCGGCCAGCGTTTGCTGCATCTTCTCCACTGCCTCCTCTGTCTCGCGCAGCTTGCTAAGACCATTCTCAAATCGGCTTTGATTAGTCTGATCTGCCGTCGTTTGAGAATCCATCAAGGTGGAAAACATTTTAAGCACTTCAAGGAAAGATGTCGGAGTGACGTAGTTGTAACGTCGAGTCTCGGTCAAGAAACGCTGAGACATTTTCTCCACACTTTGATGGATAGCAACGCATACTTCTGCGCACCTTACAATCTCAGCATTGTCGCCTCGCAAAAGTGGCATCGGGGCGAGGAAGCTACGTGCGACGCTGTGCAGCGCCTGATGAGGCCAGGCCTCGAACCAGTCAATCGTGCAGCAGCTCACCAGCGCAGGGAACATGCGCAGGCGGTTGCGGAATGTCTCGCCCAGAGGGGACATGCAGAGTGAAATGTGTAAGTTACTGCGACAGTTGCGGACAAAACGAGAGTACATACTGATCTTATCTAAGGAAAGATTCTCCGCGATACATATGGGCTTCATAGCGTTGAGCAGATCGTCAAATTCTTGGCCAACAAACAGATTCGGGATCTCACATGAGTTGAGGAGGTTGTTAACGTCCTCGAGCATGGATTCGTGCACAATTTGAGTGTCGGTAAATAAGAAAAGAACCTGCTTTCCGTGAAGGCCAACCGAACGCAACACGTTCTTCATATCCTCTTGCCACATGTTCATGCTGTAGCCTTTCGAAATTTCCACCTCCATGAGATTATAGTGCGTCACATGAGCCGCTAACCGAGAAAGTGATTGACGACCGGAGCCACCAACTCCTAGGAGTAAGACGTGGCCGTTGAACTTCCGAATCACACGAATGATGCGACAAAGATGATGCACCGCAACGGTGAACAGAACAATATTGAGCTTGTGGGTCGCATAATTTTCGTTGTACTCGGCAAATCGCTTCTCTAGCTCCTTCACCAGTGTTTCATAATCCTTTACTTGGTCATAGACAGCAATCTTCGAATTTTTGGAGCCAAGAAAATCAACAAAAAGTAAATCAGAAATCGCGGAGATCGAAGCACCCGGCGAGGGTGGAATGACTTCTTCGAGAGTCACCTTGAAATGTTTCCTCACTTGATTCTGAAGCTGCTGATCAAACCAGCTTCTGTCCTTCTCGTTAATGAGCCGATCCCGGAAGGTCCGCATCTCCTCATGCAGCCACAAGCGTATCAACGCAAACGTGTCCGGAACTGACTGCAGGGTGGCGTTGGCCATACCAGAGATCACCCTCGAAAGGTCTCGTAGGTTGAAGAGATAGTGAGGATGCACGGGGGTCGGACGTAGTTCCTTGATCACTTGATTGTACACCGCAATCGAGGCGTCGGCGATGGTTTGCACCTTCGATCGGATGTTTTCCGGGAACGGCGCGAAGTAGCTGTCCATCAACGTTACAAAGATGCGCTTCAGGTTTCGGTCGTCAATATCGGGAAAGGCGATTTGGTTGAAGTGGCGCAGGAACCGGTTACTCACATGGTTGCGGCCGCCACCTGGAGGTCCCATTGAGCCAACTAAGATGACATCCACTATGTTGAAGAACTCGCGCGTGAGGCGGTCATACCAGCCGTGATAGTCCATGTACTGGCGTAGAATTTCAATCGGAGGTTGTGCGCCATATTGCTCCTTCATAGGCATATTCATGTCATCAATGAATACGATAATCTTTTTGTTGAGAGGAGCCCCCCAAATCTGCGGAGAGGCGCGCCGTCGTACCTCGAACTTGGAGAAGATAAGGTCCTGGGTTTGGTTGGCACTCGTCCGAGCGGAGAAGGTGAAGAAGATAGGGGTAAACTCTTTGGGCATCTCATTCATGAGCAGCTGCTGCAGTAGTACGGTTTTACCGGTTCCGGTGGGGCCGCAGCACAGGGTGTGATAAGAGTTTTTGAGGAGTAGCCGGTTAATATACTTGAAGCGCGCCTGGTCTGCTGTGAGTACAATGATATCCGAAATGTTGGCTTGCGTCACCTGAGTCGTGAACGGCGGCAATCGGTCATTCCACGCCACCCAGCTCCGCTCTTCGGGGATAAATTCATAGTTCTGCAGGCAGTCAAGGATCGGAAGGTCGATTGCGACGTCCCGCTGCCGGAGCTCGTTGCGCAGAAACTTATCAAAGCGCCTACAGCTGACTCCGTCGCCCGTAGCGCCGAAGGACCAAACGATCGAGAAGACTAAGAAGTCCAGGTATACATCCTTCAAAATATCGAGCTTCTCTTGTGGGACCTCGTACGTCCTTGTGGGCGTGAACGGAACTAACAGCGCCGCGAAGATGTTAAAGCAGGACGTCACCAGATTCGTCCAGACAGAGGCGCTGTACTCGGCGACCTGCGTCTGAACGAAGTGAATGAGCACGGGGAAGAGTTGCTCGCAAAGAGCCTGTAGGTGCTCCTTGTAAGGGTCCATAGTGGAGGGCAGACGATACATTTGCCAGCTGCGCACCAGGTTGGTGATGCCGACGCAGGTGCTAGGCTCCATATAAATCATACCCGCGCGCGAGACGGTGGCAGGCGAGGCCACCGCAAGGTCCTCCACCTCAAACCAACAGTTCATGTAGGGCGTCATCGCGATAATTTCGCCCGAAATGAGGCAGAGCTTTTTGTTATCATCGAGCACGGTGTTCATGGACTCAATCCAGAGGGCGTCGACGGGGCCGTCGAAGATGATCCACTGCCGCGCATCGCTGCAATCGCGCGCCGCGGTGCGGAAGATCTCCCCGACGAGACCGTCATGCCACTCCCCGGTGACCATATCGAAGCCGCCGTAGAGCTGCGACATCGTGATCGCCTTGGGGTTCAGCGCGTAGGTTTTCACCTCGGCAAAGCGCGGGTTGCGCATCTCCTTGCGTAGCGTCGTCATCGCACTCTGGAGAACCTGCGTCGCGCTCGTCTTACCACCCATGGTGGGGCCGACGATCATTTGGCCATGCCGCAGGATAATCATCTCGTACATCTCGATGCACTTTCGGATGAACACCCCGGTGGGCTGCAGATGCCGCTCCGTCGCCTTGTCGGACAAGACCTTCATGAACTCGCCATAATCCACCGGGGGTACCTGCACGCCCGGGAACAGATCGGAAACGATGCCGTTGAAAAGCAATAAGTCGGTATCGAGAAACTTTGGCGCGTTGGAGTTGCGTAGGGCGCGCAGCAACAGCTCGTTCTCGGGCTCGTTTGGGTACTCCCGTTTCATCAGTGCGGCGGCGGAGATGACGGTGTTAACCGCCCGCATCCCGAAATCGTAGTGATCCTGCGTGGACAGCTGCTCCGAGCTCAGCCGGAACGTGGCGACCATTTTCTGAGCGAGCTTCCGTGAATCCGAGTAGCCGGATGAAAAAAGTCGAATCTCGGCAATCATCGCGTAGTCCGGCACCATACATGCGACCGGGCGGAAGAGCACCTTAAGGTTATCCGGCAGCTCCGTTCGCCCGGCATAACCGGGGTTCATGGTGATGAAAACAGCATAGGACGGGTCGACCACAATCTCGGTTCCCTCGAAAGGAATACGATACTGCTTCGACCGCGCCGCCGTCTGAAGCGAAGAAACCTGCTGCGCCACCACAGAAAGCACTTCCACGTCGATGCGGTTGAACTCATCAAAACAGGCCCACGCGCCGGCCTGGGCAAGCCCTTTGAAGAACTTCCCCATCGACGCGTACGTCATACCTTCCTGGCAATTAAACACCACACACTGCTTCGCAACGGCCTTGGCTAAATCCTTGACGGTTTCGGTTTTGCCGGTCCCGGCGGGGCCGGCGGGCGCGCCCCCCAAGAACATGTGCATCGCTCCCGTCAGCGTGAGATAGATACGATCCGTCAGCGGCGTGATCACCAGACGCGTGCTGTTGCCAAGGTATTCGTGCCCGTAGCGGAACTGCGCCTCGACCTGTCGTAGGTAGTAATCGTTGTTCATCCAATAGCTACGCAACTGTGAAATCCACTCGAAGTCATAGACGCTGCTGATCTTATCTCGGACTAGGTTATCCACAATATCCCGAGCATGGACCTCAATGGTAATGAGGCCGCTAATATTCATACGTTGGAGATTCGATAACGGATGGCGAACGGTTTCGATGAGCAGTTGGAGGTTTTCCTGTGCCTTTGGGGCGTAGGGTTCCAAGGAGCCATGCGTCGTCAGGGAGTTCTCACACTCGTAGGTCCACATAATTTGATTCACGGCAATGACAATCTGTCCGGGCAAACTGATCACAAAATCTTTGCGATCCATCGTGGTGAAGTCTTTGAGGCCCTTTTCCAATTGCATGCGTATCGAAAGCTTCATCATGTTCTCGACCTCAGTAAGCCAGTTCTCCACATACTTTCTCGGCAGAACGGGTTGGTGAAAGGGGATGTATTCATCCATATGAGAGTGCATTCCGAACATCTCATTTTCTTCACCGCGCATATCGAGTTTGGCGACATTCTCAAACAGCTTGCGGAACTGCGGCTGCAGCTTTTGCGGATCCCTTGCCTCAGACAAGATCATGAGTAGCTCGTCATCAGACAAAAAGTAAAAGCGTGCAAAGGAGGCACGCTTGTTCTCCAGGTATTGATTAAGCCCACGCCCCACAAGCTCGAGAAGTGTGTTGCACTCTCGCAACAACTCTAGACAGCGATCCGTAGTTTCGCAGAACTTCATGGTAAGGTTGATATCATGGGCCCTATTGGTCAAGAATGTCCAGTTCTTGTTCACCTGCTGAAATCGCTTGAACTCCTGAGGAATTTGGCGAGAAATGTCCTCGGACTGAAATATAGGCTCCAAATGCAACCATGCCTTTTGGCAGTTAATCCACTCGTCAAGAACACTCTGCACGGTCCGCAGAGACGCTTCCCATTCTTGAATGTCTTCCTCGAAAAGCTTTTTGAATGGTGAGAAGCTGAGGGATTGTGTGATAAAGGTGTGCTCATCCAAGGTTTCTTGCGTTTCGTCGGCGACTTCCTTAGTGATGATGAAGCATCCGGTCTCCTTATGCGGCTTCAGGTTCAAGCAAAGAGCTCCCCAGTGCTCCTTCATCTTCTTCAATGAGAGCTCAATCTGATACTCACGCGACGCGACCTCAGAGATGCGCATCGTGATATCGTCATACTCCTGTAGCCGTAGTGTCGTGATGTCCGAAAGGCTCTTGAGTGTGACGCCTGGTCGAATATCTTTCCCGATCTCTTTGGAGATTTGCTCCCAGTGGCGATCGTACATGCCACGCGCACGCAGGTAGTTGATCGTCGGTACCAGTGGTTTAAACTCCTCGATTGAGAGCAACGTGCGCTCCGCAATATCGATGAGATCTGGGGTAAGTCGAGGCTCACACGTGCATCGAGTCATCGCATTTAAGTTTTCGGTTACCTGCTTTTCAATCGCCTCGGCATCGAGTTCGGTAAAAGGGATGTTGTACCACGTATGCATGGAGTTATGCCAGCTTTCGATAGTCAACCACAGCAAAGCGTAGGGCTCAAAATCCGTGGACAGCTGATGCACCGCTGAATAATCCGTCCGCTCCAGGTTGAAGAGGCTTTCGTGCAGATTGAAGGTATTGGCTTGGGAACGCAACGTTTGTATTTTTTCCAGCACCGAACGGACATCATTGGCGGTTTCATTGAGCTTGGGGAGGCTGGAGTGAAGGTAGTATTGCTGGACAACCCTCTGGACGGACTCCACCTCAGTTGCAAACAGCTCCTGCGCGCGATGCATGGAGGCGGTCATGTACCGCATCGTTTCCTGCAGTTCCTGGGTACGCTGGTTGATTTCATCGTCCAGCTGCGACGGCCATCCGAATATATGCCACTTCTTGCTGAACTCCTCCTCTGAAAGGCTATGGTGGAACAAATGAAGAAGGTCGTGGATCTCACGCGTCTCCTCAATCATCGCCTGAATGTCAAACATTTGCTCGGGAATGCTCTTAATAAACTCCCTCGCCGCCACAACCTCTTCCGGAGTCTCCGTTGGTTTGAAAAGGATGTTGCGCAGTTCTGTGAACTTGGCGTCGATCCTGTCCTCTTTTTGAACGGCACGATTCGCCAGCAAAGTGAGCACACCCGAGACGACTTGGTTACACTTGGAGGACAGTTGTACCTTCAGTTCGAGGCAATCAACAAGCACCATGCCCAAGTCCTTTTCAGCAGGTATATTCTTTTGAATTTCCTCTTGCCGTCTCATAAAGCTCTTTATTTCCTCTTCGATCCCCTTCGTCCGTGGGAAGCGTTCCTTGAACTCGTCCATGTACGTCCGTACATCAAAATCGGCCAGGTCCTGAAAGCTCCTGAAGGTGGCGAGGTACCTCGCCATGATACCCGCCGTCCGATCCAGCACTCGATCGATTCGCCCGATGCAAGACTCCACAAAAGTGTCGCTCAGATTCAGCGACTGCAGCGTCACAAAGTTTTGATCGTGCAGGAAACTGAAAAGACTGCGCTCGACTGTACGAAAATCACCATGTGAGGAGAGACAGCGCTTGATGAGCCCGTGAATGATGGAGCGAATTTCATCGATGGATACGCTGTAGCTAATCGCCGAGCCCCCCTCCGACGAAGTTGCCACAGAGTTCGGCCGCGAGGCTTCGTACACACTGCTCGGGACTTCATGGAAGGTGCCTTGTTGGCTAGATGGTTTCACAAGCCCTTGCAGCCTTTTCGGAGTGGCGTAGATCTTTTGATCACTTATAACCGATACTCGGAAAAGCGGTGCGGGACGGTAGAACGGTTTTCGCAAAAACGACTCCGAAACGCATGCATTCCAGCCGAAAGGTTCGGTAGGCGCAGGATAATCATCCTCGCTCAGCTCAACGTCGTTGATGCTGTTAATGGTCAAACGGAAATTTCCCGCATCCTCAAGGAATCGAGTGAAGACCTCGATGTTGCACTTCAGAAAGTGCCTCACAGTATCCTGCATTTCACAATTCAGCATCCGCATAAAGTGCTCTGTTTTGGTACCCCTATAATCGTCCTCGTCGATGAATTTCAAGTTCACCTCGTCATCCTTGGTGAAGTTGCCTAAAGCCTCTCGTAAGTTTGATACAATGACATTGGACCACTTTTCGCGCAGAAATCGCGCGCTGTTGCGCACCGCGGCGGTCTGGACCTCATCAAAGTTGATGAGTGTTATCGGCCGCTGGTTTTCGAGCTCGGCGCCCTGCAAAAATATCGGACGCGACAAAATCTTCTCGTGGCACTCCCGTACTTGGCGGCAAACAAAGGAAGGGGTCGGCGTGCACGCGAAGAAGGTTTTCCGCTGAAACGACTCAATGATTTTCGCCAGACGGGTGTCATCCCCAGAAGGCGGCGCCACGCCGTACGTGGGGACCACTTGCCCCTTCGTTTCTAAGTCCTGTAGGAAAGACAAGTGAGAAAAGTGATTCGTCTTAGAGAAATTGCGAAGGAGATCCGCGTTCATGCAACGACAGTAGTCGATTCGAACCTCCTCCGCTACCGCTTGGGTCTCGAGAATGCTTTCCGCCTGAACGAGCGCCAACGTGCCCATCGCCAGCTTCTTAATGCGGGACTGCACCCCGGGATTTAAGGTCTGATACTCATCTGGCGGAACGGACTCTACGTAGAGCTCCGCTCGAAGAACATCCTCGGCATGTTGGCGGCGACGATAGGCAGAAGCAAAACGGTCGGCGAACGTGATTGGGTTTTCAGCATCAAAACAAACACAGATACGGGGTAATATTAAGGTGAGGGAGGGTGGGAGGCGGTCTTGATTTTTTTGACGGTCCACCTTCACTGTAAAGTGTGCGGCAGCCACATCACAGCCCATGGCGCGGGCTATAAACCAGGCCCCATTTCCAACCTGCGTATAAAAGGCACGGCATGGTAGGCCTTTATTTTCTTCAATCCGATCTGCCCACTCAGATAAGGTGAGTTCCTCATACATCGTATCATCAAACGCCTCTAACGGGAGGAGGGCGTGATAACGACCCGCATTGGCATCGATAGAGTGGTCCGCCGCGGTTAATTGAACGCCCCTATCGGCTAGAAGCTTCTCCAGGGGGGGGCATGCGTCATAACGGGTGCGCTTTCGTCGTGCTAGCTCCTCAAAGGTAATCTCCCCTCGAACAGAATCGCGAATCACCATAACTTTAGGAGTGATGTCCGCTGCCAACGGTGGTACCGCCACCCCGGGCCGATCCATGGTCGACTGCGCCACGTCTTTTGCATCACACGCCGCCGGAGAAACAGAGGAGAGTGGGTGGGCGTAAGAGGAAGAGCCCAAGAAGCCGTTTTCTAACGGAACTTCTGAAGGGCTTTCCGCAATAAATACATCTGTTTTTAGTTTCTGCTTGTCCTCAGCATCCTGCTTTTTCAACTGGGCTCGCCGTAAGGCAATTAGCTCCTGTGCGGAAATTGACATCAAAGGGGTTCTTATGAGATAAAGAAAAAGTCAAAGGAATTGTTAAGGGTTAATAAGCGAGCTCGGTAAGAATTACAAGAGGAAAGAGCAAAACCTCGAAAAACTCTAGGAGCGCTTTTTGGACTACTGGGGAAGAAAGAGTGTGGATAGGGAAGGAGGGGAACAATTTGAGAAAGGGAAAGCATAGCGCCAAATCCACGTAGCATCTGTTATTTTGCAGCAGAACGCAAAAAGTTGCTGCGCTTCATATTTATCGAAAAATAGTATAAATAACAATAATAAAGAAGTTCTGAATCCCTTTACTTCGTGC